AATATGTGACTGGCCAGATTGAAGGATGTTTTGGCTGGAACTTAATGGGCTTTATGTTGGGTACACAATTTTTGGAGAATGGAACGAGATATGGATAGGCAACCTGTGTTGAGGAAACGTTAAGCCAAATTTCTGTTCCAGGAAAAGCTAACACCACTTCGCTGAAAGGAAGCAGCATATTTAGCACCCACCAGAAGCTACTGATATCAGGTCAGTGTCCCAGGTTGAAGAGAGATATCAGGATGATTGAAACCTCAGGTGATCTGAGCGGTGGTCGGGCACATCAGGATTAAGGTAATTAGCATGTGGCAATGATCATCTCCCTTGTTTACCTTAGGGGGCCATATTTCCTATAAGCAATTTTTTTTTTGTACATAAGCTTTCTGATGGTTTTCCCAGTTTACTGCTTGACTTATTCCCTGCACCCCCATGCCTCATTGAGTGAGCCAGTGTCTGGTCATAGCTTCCAGTAGACAATGTATGGGTCTCAGAATACTGGTGTGTTGGGCTAAGGCTGGGTGGATCCAGAGTTGAGTCCAGGAAGCTACCGAGAGGTTCCACCCAGTAAAGAACAATGAGCTGGGAATAATACACTGAAAACTTAGGAAACAACTTACATTTAATCCTGAAATATTTATGGAATTTCATGCAGTCACCTTACTTCATCATACTTTGTATATAAATAAAAGAATCAGAAGATACACTCTTAACATAATATGGCAGAATATCAGACTAGAGTGGTAAGATAATGTTTCATCTCAATCAGGTAATTACCTTACAAGAAATAAGGTAATTACTCAATCTTACAAGAAATTTTGCTTTAAATGAACACACAGTATACATTAACAAGGAAATAAGATTAACAAATATATAAAATATGATGGAATGACAAATCATAACATACAACTATTACATCTCAATTAGGACGAGTGCTTTAGCTTCACCTTAACGTTAGTATACTGGGGACATGTTAATGCCCCATACAACATTTATGTACTAAACTATTCTTTCTTTTATATTATCAATAAAATAATGGCTCTGAAAAAAACATTTGTACTCTTCCCTACAACTTGTTCATATAAATAAATAAATATTATTTTCAAGCTTACGAAAAAGCGAGACTCTTATATAATTTCTCTAAGTAAATGAGGTAATAACAGTTGTTAAAATAGCATGGAAATGGCTTATCTTTGTCTTACAGTAATAAATATTATAACATCTACAAGCAAAGGCATTGCTACACTTACTTAAACAATGGAAGTAAATCAGCTGAAACCTCCATACATCAGACTTGTTGATTCCAATTAAATATGAATGCAACTGCAATAATTGTGAACAAATAAATTAGTATGGTATTTACTTTTACTTTTTAAATCACAATAAGGATCATATTGAGTAACAAGGCTTTATTGTACTGTAAGATGACTTATAAAGGCAACTTTGAAATAGAGATACCTCTGGACTGTTAGATTAAATTAGTATCCAGAAATCCTCATAGAGAAGTCAACAGATGTCTCTGATATATGGTATCTTATTATTTTTTTTGTTCCCTGGGAATTTGTTTTATTATATACATAATATCACATATAGAACAGTATAAGCTAACACAGCCATGACATAAATACATACAAACGTATACTGAATATACTTTAATTTTATGAGGCAATTACACTGGACAAAGTGCCATTGCTTACAGGTGGCGTTAAAAGCCTATACTGTACTCGCAACTTTTCCTTCTTCAGCAACTTAAATTGTCAAACTACGGGCCTTATCCCTGTACACAACAGTGACACTGTCTGTTAGATATCTTCATGTTCGTTAAATAAATATTAGATATATAGGTTAATACAGTATATATATACACGCACACTTTAAATTGATCTAGATAAAATAAGTGCTTGGAGCATCAAGTGGCAAATGGAATTCAGTGTGAATAAATGCCATGTTATGGAATGTGGAACCGGAGAAAATAGACCACACACTACTTACAAATTATGTGGAAAGGAATTACAGAACTGTAATAAAGAACAAGACCTAGGGGTGGTTTTGGATGGTAAGCTGTTGCCAAAGGAAGACAAAGAACATTGTGAGATGAGTATATTGTATCGCTTTCCAACTTCAGACTTGCTTTTAATTATATGGATGGTAAAATACTAAAGAAACTGTTCATGACTTTTGAGAGACCAAAATTGGAATATGCAGCATTAGTATGGTGCCCAAATTTCAAAAAGCACATTAAGAAACTGCAAAAGGTGCATTGGCAAGCTACAAAATGGCTTCTGGAACTGAAAAACAAGAGTTACGAGGAGAGACTAGAGGCATTAAACATGCCAAAACTGGAAGATAGAAGAAAAAGAGCTCATATGATCACCACTTACAAAATACTAACAGGAATAGACCAAATTGACAAAGAGGAATTCCTCTAACCAGCAAATTCACGAACAACAGGGCACAGATTCAAGCTAAGGAAACAGAGGAACTGAAAAAAATATTATTAAATTTTCTTTTGCAAACAGAGTGGTAGACGGTTGAAACAGACTAAGTGAGAAGGTGGTGGAGGCCAAAACCGTGAGTTGTTTCAAAGTGTTATTCGACACAGTACTGGGAGAACGGGACACCACGAGCATAGCTCTCATCCTGCAACTACACTTAGGTAATTACACACACATGTGCATGATATTTACTATACTGGTAAAAAGCATACAACAATTAACATACAGTAGAGTATTCATATTCTGTACCAGATATAGCTAAGGCTTTCCTGTTAACTGCTTAATCCTGAGATTAAATTGGCAATAAAATAGTACAACGAGTACTAAAACTTTTTTTTAAGATAGCTTTCAGAGAACATAGTAAATCTGAAACCAGTCTGTTCATTTGCAAAAAAATTAAGAACTAGCTTCAGGTTAAACCTTCAAGAGGGGTTCAGAAAGAATCAACATAAAGTTTAACGTCAACAAATTGTTCGGCTTCGAGAAAGCAAATAATTATTAATGTGCGAATAATGTTAGTACTGTACTGTATTTACCCTTATTTCAGTGTGTGCATATGACCCGTGGAAGGTAATGGGTATTGGCCCAATTGTTGCTGCATCATTGTGTGTTGGCATTATCTTCCTACAATCACTAATCGCTACAGATTCTGTATTTATGGGCTTCTCCTAATTCATGATCTCGTGTTGAAAAAGACTATTACCTTGAGATTTTGAGCCATTTTATCGCATTGCTCAAATATTCATTCGCCCAGTTGGCATTACAAGTGTAAGTATTGTCATTATCTTTGCCAAATGGAGGGTTATCATTTAACACCATAAGGTTCAATGTAAAACGGCTTTATAACAAAATGATATTGATATTCAGGTACAGTACATTATGTATAAAACTGTGCCAATTCCATGCTGGTTTTGAGTACATTTACAATCTTTCCTGTTTTATTTAGTACTGTGTTTATGTTGAAGACACTAAGACATGCTTTATTTCAGACAGTCAGAACTTTAACCAAAGTGGCAAGTAAAGAATGAGAAATGTTAAATACAGTGTACAAGATGTAAAAGTGTATTGTTAAATTAATTACTGTGAGGCATGACAGTAAAAGGAACTTGTTTTAGTTTGAACTGATTAGTATACTGCAACACTTTCCTGTTTCAAGTCCTTAGATTTCAAAATTACATTACAAATGAGGTAGAATATTACTTACAGAGTTACTACTTATTTTAGTACAATTAAAGTTAAACAAAAATAAAACTTATTCAAACAATTCCTCTATTCATATTTTACTATTTTTTACTATTCCACAAAATTGAGTTTAAAAAGAGTCAAATTCTATTTTATTTTCATGCACACAAAATATATTTATAGCGCACGTTAAAAAGAAATTCTAAATGTTACCGATAAAAATTTATGTTAAATATTTCTGCTAAAAATAAATTCTGTAAGTTACTTAAGTTATGGAGCCATGAACATGTTTCTTGAATCTAAATATTATTTGATATCCTTATGATTTTTGCTGCTGTATGCCCCCTTTTTTATTTTAAATATGATGCTGATACTGTAATTAAAATATGAATATTAATAAATTAATTACATGAAAAACAGAATTATCTGTTTACTTAAAAGATGTACAGTGGTACCTCGGTTTAAGAGTTTAATCCGTTCCTGGAGACAGCTCGTATTCCGAAAACTCGTAATCCAAAGCTAATTTCCCCATAAGAAATAATGGGAAATGAATTAATCCGTTCCTGACTACCCAAAAACCTCACTTCAAACTAAATTGTATACCTAATTCATCTAAATCTACACTACAAAACTATGTTCAAGTTATTACTTACCCTTGCTGATGACTCCTGTTGGCGTATGGAAGATGGTGAGGAGGGGAGAGGAGGTGAGGTGTTACTGTTTGTAAGGGAGTCCCCTTTCATTATAACATCAGGCAGTGAGGACCTCTCTGGCACGTTTTGCCTGCATACCACTAGGTCCTGGTTGTGGATCACTGCTCGATTTTTTCACAACAAATATGTCCATGGAAGATTGTTTTTCCCTTCTTCGCAAGATGTCTTTGTAGTGAGGCATCACATTGTCATTGAAAAGATTAATGCAACGGCCTACTACAGCTTTCTCTGGGTGAGTCATTTCAATAAAAGTTTGCATGTCTTCCCACATCTGACACCACTTCTTCTTTTCAACATCCTCAAATATTTGTGGTCTTTGTTTCGTGATTGTTCTTATGTCTTTTGCCACGTTAGCACTCATAATGTCCTTTTTCTTGGCAAGTATAGTGCATATCGTTGACGTGCATTTGTTGTACTGCCTACAAAGTTCAACAACACGTGTATCATTTGCCTCCTTCTGAATGATCTCTTTCTTTTCCTCTATTGTCATCCTCACATGCGATTTCTTGGCTTGAACCTTACCACTGGCTTTCTTGGGACCCATGGTGAGATATATAATGACTTTCTTGGGGCAGGATAATCACCATGGTGAGCGCCGATCGCCATATAGGTCGGCCTGTACGTGATCAACAAACTCGGATTCCGATGTAACCCTCGTATTCCGATTCAAATTTTCCGAGGAAATACTGCTCGTATTCCGAAAAACTCATAAACGGAGACGCTCGTATTCCGAGGTACCACTGTATAATATTACTATTATATTTTATACATATTAGATATAAAACCTGAATCATTGAAAGTAGCAAGTTCCATGCAGTAAGGAAATGGGTTTTTGTTTTTTAAATACAGGTACATTCAAATCCCTAAAGCACTGCATTATGAGCATTTAAAAATCAGTATTTATTTATATGTTCAGCCTTTCTTGCCTCTAAAGCAAAATAAACTACTGTACATTAAAACTTTCTTCAAACACTTTCAATCATCATCATTACTACTTACACAATAATCTATTTGGACATTTAATATACTGTTCAGTACAGGGGGTCCCTAACATCAGCCAGTCCACTCTTACGGATGGCATCCTAAGTCTCCCGTCTGCATCGGGATGTGCCATACAAGCCCAGTTTGTCTTTCCCTGTGATAAGAACAGTGCTACTTTTATGTCTGTACAGCCACATAGCTCTGTGGGGTGCTACAAGACGTTTACATGACTCAGTGCTATGTGGCTGACCTATGCTGCCACAAAACCTGCAGATATCACTAGATGTTGTATATATAATCTGTTTCCATAAAGGGAAAATATTTTGTAAAAATTTTCAATAAGAATGCACAGGTTACATTCTGTTAGGCTATAATATTAATTAGCCAGTATTCAAAGAGCACACCACCACATACTACAGTTGACAAATACAGCAGTGGTGAACTTAGCAAGTGGGAGTCCCCCTCACGAATTGTGCCACCAGTATAAATTGCCAACCACACTTCCATGGAAATAAACATTCCAATCACCTGGACTGTATGGGTCTTGAATTTGTTGATAGTGTTACGGCCCCACACGCATGGGGTCTGTGGTTCGAGACCCATACAGTTCACCAGTATTGCTTTAATCTTTAAAAAATTTAATCCGACTTGCTTAACATAGAAATTTGCATTTCTTTAAAAAGTGTGTTTATAATATAAATAAAAATTTTGTCACAGTTTGGCAACTAAATGTGAGTGACAAATTTGTACTCCACCAATGGGGGACTGACTGACTTATTCTCAGGGAAGTGGCCAAGGAAGGTGAGAGAAATCCACTGGGCCACCAAGTCCAGCATCAGCTTCCAAAAGGCTCATAATGACAGCCATTGCCGCTTCATCGGAGTCGCTAGTTCCGTCGGTTTCCAGGTCACGGCCACTCACCACATCCATCAGGTCACCTTCATTAGATACTGAAAATATATGAACACTTCATACATAATTTTTATTTTAATTATCTATACAGTGCAGTACTGTATATGCAATATGATTAACTGCTGCAAAATAGCATGATCTAATTCACATCTCAAACCATAAAAATTTAAACTTACCATGCATATTCCTTTTGGAACATGCATGTGTTACCATGTTCCTTTTGGAACACATTCCTCCACTATTCTTCCTCCTAAGCATTGCTCACTAACATCTATTCACCCCTAATCTACTAACAATTAAATATAATGTGAGCTTGCCTGAACGATGAACTGGCATGGAAAAAGACTCTAAACAGCAGGGGACAGAGCTTCTTTGCAAGAGAACGTGAATGAAGGACTGGTAAAATAACAGCTTCCATCGAGGTCACCAAAGCGACAGCAACCTCAGGAAAAAGGAGGGACAAAAAGGAAGAGACGAGGAACCAAGCCGAATCTAAAGCCTGGGCAAGCACAGCCCACCGGCATGCAAGAAAAAAGTTCACCACCACCTCCCAATGAGAGGAATGAGCAACTTAGGCAAAGTCACTAATGTGAGTGTTTCCCGAGGCTTCGACATTACCAGATTGTAATATTGGGGAACAACTGATGGAGCCAAATCAGAAATAAACCTATATAAAGAAAAATCTAATTGTAAAATTTTATGGAAAAAATGAATAAGAACTAAACCTAACCTAATGAAGGCCTAATCCAACCTAGGAATAAGTTAGGTTAAATAATAAGTTAAAAAAAATTTAAGTTATATTATGCCTGGGTTATGCTAGGATAAGGCCTAGATAACTATTTGGTTTCATTTCCACCCCCTTCTTTGAAATTGGTAGTTTCAGATTACCATTTTTTTTAATTTCATGTTTGGTTTAATACTCAATGGCTTTGTATCAAAATAGGCTTCTCTATATGTACATAGAGATATAACACAGACATAAGGACGGATTGCAAAGATAATAAAGCAAGACTAAACTCAACAAAATAACATTCTTACCAGGTTGTCTGTGGTTGTTGTTGTTGTTGTTGTGATGACTGAATGACCCACCTCTTTCACTGCTATTTGTCAGATTATTATTGTTATTCATACCAGGAAGATGGTGATGGTTATTACTGAGTTGTGTACCCCGGCTGGTATCACTCCCAGAGCAGGTGCTGGTATTGCTGCTTAACACAACATTGTTCTTCACATTTGTCTGGAATTCATTACATAAATCAATACCAGCTTCACCAATACAGTACATGTGTATATATATATTATAGAGTACATATAAAGGGAGGTTTTAAATGTCCGGGATTAACTTACTCACCATTCACTGTATACTTTCAACATAATTTATATCCATTCTACTTATTTCCACCTGCCTGCCCAATAATTCTTGTCTTCCTTCCTGATAACTCCTGTCAGCCCGCATGATAACTCCCACGTCCGTACTTAACAACTCCTGCCTGCCTATCTTTGCCCTTCCACCCACCCACTACGTCCCTCCAATCTGCCCACCTACCTGATCCCTCACTCCCAATCCCTCCTGCCCACCTGGTCTCACCCATGTGGTCTATCCTGTAAACCCAAGCCCTCCTGACTGCCCACCCAATCCTTCCTGCCTACCTGAGCCCTCTCAAAATCTCACCCATTTGGTTCATCCCGTAAACCCGAGCCCTCCTGTCTGCCCACCCAATCCCTACATCCCCTCACTCCACCCACCAGTCCAACCTCTCGCTCCCACTCATCTGCCCAATCCCTAACTCCTGCCTGCTTTCTCTTTCCCACCTGCTTCCTAGATCCTTAAAACTCCTCCCACCCTTCCTGCAATGTGTGACATTGTGTAACTTTACACACTGTACAGTACTACAGTATAACCATATTCTGCTACCACTGTGCTACAAAAGTGCAAGTAAAAACTTTTTTTACAATTATACATGGCAAATATTTTAACCCCAAAATAATGATTATTTATATGTTAATTTGTCTAAATATGCAAATACATATATTGTAGCACTTGCTACAAAAAAAGCAAACAATTTGCACTGATCAGTAGAACAACTGCCTCGCTTCCTGCAGGTGAATGTTTCATGCCCGACAATCTAAGAGCTTCGGCACCATTCCTTTCCTCCGTTTTATCCCAAACCATTTTCTTTGCTGTACTGTATATTCTTCCAGGTGCTAGTCATCATTACCTTACCTTGATATATGAGAAATCTAGAAAATTTGATGGTAAATAGCCAAAAAATGGAACAAATTTCGGGAACCTGGATTTCTACCAAATCAGGATCGGGCCCCAAATGATATAATCTGGATTTCTTACGTTTGACTGTGTATGTATATGTGTAAAGTACAGTAAATACCTGTATATTTAATTTTAAATTTGAAAAACTGTATTCATGTCAAATATCCATACTAACCCTGTGTGCTGTCATATCAGATCTAAGAAGTGCTGCAAAAGATCGATCAGATGCTCCAGATCCCAAAATTCCTTCAAAGGGAGATACTGGGCTATTGCATGTAGAATCATTCTTCCGCTGATTATCTAAAACTTCTTCGGCAATCACTCGGCCGATTTTTCCAGCTTGAATACCACCTCCCATCAAGCGGCTGCTGTTACTGTTAGATCCAGCACCACCTAGTGGTGATGTATCTTGATTATGATTTGGATCTGGTAAATATAAACAAAATTACTAAATATAAACCTCTTAGCATTGAAATGACAACAGTGCATGCACAGCCTTTCCAAAACATTATATCAGACAAGTCAAACACAATAACTCAAAGAATTAAACAGATTTGCCTATGTTGGTTTTAAATGAGTAACTGAATAAACTACAGCAATTTACTAGCAGTTTTTACAATACAAAATACACAAAGCAGAGACCATGAGAGAAAATAGAAAAAGGTTGAAATTACAATTCAAATGACGAGAAAAACTAATAATTAACATGGCAGTACAGCACGTGTACTGTACTGTTAAAGGAATCATCACGGATAAAGTAATTTCCTACCTCTAGTGACCTACTAAAGTACTGCATCACCCCGCAATGGCTCCCAAAGCTTGCTGTCTGGTAAGTGTCAAGCCTAACATACCCCACCAAGCCTTGTGAGTCATCAGCACATACTGGAGACCAGAAGCAGAATCTGGTCAATAGAGGCAAAGGGAGTCTGGGGATAGGAGATCATCCCAAACCAATTAGAAAAACCACCAGAAAGGGGGGAGCATCCCAAAATAAGCATTTGCAAGGTACAATTAGAAATCTGTTGTACAAGTCTTATGCATCCAAGAGGTATTGAGAGGGGAGGGGACAGCACAGAAAGGCTGATTTCATCGACAAAAGCAGGAAAAGTCATACAGTACTGTACAAAACATGAAAACTGACTGGTAAATTGAGAAATTTCACTTAATAATTCGTGCTCATTAATTTTGTTAGAACCATGGGATGGCTCCATACTGGCAAGCTTTAAAGGTATAAATACTATACGATTCAATTACAATTACCAGGAGAGTTCAAATATTCACTGAAGTTGCTGTAAGATTGTGAAACAGATTCATTGGCCATGGTGCTCTCCACCATCCCAGCTTCCGACCTGGAAAAAAATGTAAATTTCAGCTAAGATTGTGAAAGGCCATTTCATATTACAGTAGTGTTATACAGATGGATTGATATTCAGTATCTGTCATAAGCATACTAGAAAAATATTGATAAATTAAGAAGTGTTAAATTTAACTATGATATCACCCACCCTTGCGGGCTGGTCAAAATTACGGTAACATGTCTTAATTTAGAATCCTGTTTATACAGGAGCATTATATAATTTTATATCCAGAATTTGAAGTGAGGAAATATTAAGTGTGGGTCAGTGTTAAACTGTACCTGTGGACAATGTTGCATTATACCAGGGAATAGTGTTGTACAAACAAACAGAAGTTTGTTGGTACTGTATATTGTTGGTGTATTGTACAAACAGAAGTTTGTACGATACACTGAAAAGGATCACCTGTGACTGAAGTTGTAAAAAAAAAGTTGGTGATACTTACGTAACAACACTGTTTTTTGATATAATGTACTCAATCTCTTTCGTCCAAGGATTTTTGAATGTCCACCAATTGCTCTGTAATCTTACAAAGGAGCCCTCCTTTGTGCGAAACCTGTAGACCTATAAAAGACAAATACTCCATGTATTTTTTAAGCATCACAAAGAGGTCTTGCATAATAGATTGTCCATATATCCATTAATTTCTGCATTCTCATATTTACTCTCTGAATCTTAGATTTAACCTTAAAGTTAAGGCCCCATAAATGTTGTGTTTAGCAATTATGTGTGTTAGTTGTCTAAATTATTCCAATAGACCCACATTCCACTAGTCCACATTCCTCGTTTACAGCCTTGCCTTTAAGGCTTTGATCAACTATATGTCTATTAAAACTCTTCCTGATATTTTTGCTTTACATCCTTTTTTTTAATGATGAATTACATTTTTTTTTATTTATATATATGAGAGTTCTTACATTCTTGTAAAGCCACTAGCATTCATAGCATTTTGGGCAAGACCTTAATTCTAATTTTTCCCCAGAAAACGACCAGCCAAATTGTTTAACAATCAGGTACCTATTCACTGCTGGGTGAACAGAGGCTACAGTTAAGGATTGGCACCCAAACAATCCTCCTTGGCCTGGGTTTGTAACCTAGTCAGGGAGGATTGACTGGGTGCCAATCCTTAACTGTAGCCTCTGTTCACCCAGCAGGGAATGGGTACCCGATTGTTAAGCGATTTGGCGGGTCGTATTTCGGGGAAAAATCAGGATTAAGGACCTGTTCAAGATTAGAGTAGGCTAGGTTGACAAGCACAAAATATTGACTTGTTTTGGGTGCAACAGTTAATGTCATGTACAGTTCATTTCCAGCAGCTTTGGGTACTATAATGTCTGAAGGATGGGTCGAGTGATCAATATAAAATATTTCTACTTTCACTTTTGTAAACTAATTATCACCTGGGTGATTCTCACCTGGGTGTTGCAACTTTGAGAGTTTTGCAGTGTGGTTTTGTGTGTCTCAGCCAGGAGAGCAATGTCGTCCTGATGGAAATACTCGTACATGCTTGATCCAAGAAGCTCTTGAGGAAGCCATCCCAATAACAATGATGCCCTGGTGAAAATATTACCTTCATCATCACTCTATTTATAAAGATTTTGATATTGTAGCACATTTATATTAAATTAGAAGGACTACTGAAAGAACCTGCCTGTTATAAAACACACGAAAGCATTAAAACATTAAAACTCCCTCTGGAAAGTCTTCGGGACACTGTACTGTTAACTAATCTAATACTGAAATGGCTTTTTCTGCTGGGCCACTCAATAGCTCCCCAATGCTATAATCTGGAAGCAACCATCAACCAGCCTCTTTGAGGCTCCCTTTTGCCTCAAAGAGGCAAAAGGGAGCCTGGGGATCAGACAACATAGTTCATAAAAAATTACCTGAGAGCAGACACACTAAACCAAGCAAATGCTTGAAAAAATGTGTAACCCCTGATGAAAACACTAAACATTTGTTACTACAGTGATACCACCACCCAGATACACTTGCCTGCTACCAGATGGCAGTCCCAGCAACCTGGGGTTTTGGACAGCTAATCAGCTCATTTACAAATTGCCCATACCAACCTCTCCAACTCCATGGGCAAAAGGCAGTGATGGGAAGCTACTGAGTAGCTCACCAGAAAGAAACATTTCATTACATTCAACAAATCCTATATTGTACATTAATCTGTTCCCGACACAGCTCAGTAGAAGCGTCTTTCAACTGACTCCTTTACTGCTATTCTGTCTTATAATGTCAACCAGAAATTACATTATGATTTGGGGATACTGTACTCGCAAGCCACTAGTACAAAATAAACTCATCATGTATTAAGGAATTAAAATGATAGCAGAAATTTGTCCATGAGTCTAGGTTAACTCCATTACATTCATATAGATGTATTATAAACACATCTACATAATTTGTATAAAAACCTGGTAATAGCAACTCAAATCAACATACAATGATAACCTCATTACCCTATGTTGGTTAGGTAATTTAATCCGGTAAAGATTATTGGATCAACATTTGACAATAATCACACTAAGGGTTCAATAAGATATTTAGTTGACTATACCTGTACTAACTTTAGTTATCTGTATGTTTATGTTTCCTTAAAACAATAATACACTTACCTCTGATCAATGAAAACGAATTTTCCATCATTGGTGTGTTTTGATATAAATTCAATAGGTTGAGTTGGTGCAGCACTACCTAATCTTGAAGTCTCTTGCACACTTGAGGCCAACAATGGTTGATGCACTCGTCCAACTGCAACCTAAAGAAAAAGTAAAAAAAATGAAAATGAAACCTTCAAGTTCATGCAAGACCTCAGTTACAGTACACTTCCTAAACTATAGTAGCAGATCTTTTTAAAAATAACATTTTACATTAAAATTTTTTGAGCAGGGCACTCACTCACTATCTTAGTCAAGGCCCTGCTGGTCTCATGGCCAGGATTACGATTATTCAGGGTAAGTTTACATTTAGTATTGGTACAAGAAGGATCTTTTTAAACATGACTTAGGTCACTCAGGCACAGAGAAAAATTAAAAATTACTTAATCCAGCCCAGCTGACCTCTAGAAGGCTCATTCATATAAACTCAAACTCCCTTTCAAGTAGTACTTGGCATCACAGGGACCACTAAACAGCTGTCTTGCTGTTTACAAATTGGCTTTCCCAGCCTCTACCCCTGACAGCCATCAGGTGGCAGCACCTACATATCTGATTTCTAAGTCTGGATTCTAAAATATTTAGCTCAGTAACTTGGGGAGCAACCAAATGGGGGGCTTCCCCTCACAGAAAACTGCAAAACTGCATTCTAGCTCAAATCAAGGTGTCATTCTTACAAATACTGAAAATCTCATTGCTTGATCAATCCAAAGTGAGAATCGGGACATAATATCATTAATGGCTAGAGTTAGATTATCTAACCTTAATCCCATGAACGTGGCAAGCATAATGATAATGATAGATTACTGCATTAAATCTCACCAAGCAGGACAGGTTACAAGAGTCGGAGTCGCTTCCGGAATCTTCCTCCAGAGGGTCTTTCGTAGGAGCCCAAGATTTAAGGTAACCGGTAAAGTGGATTACACTGTACTTTTTATCTGCCAAAAAATGTAAGTACTATAATTAGTGATTTTTGCTTTCCAGTAGCAAATTTTTACCGAAAAATGAGTTCACAATAAAATTCCAGACAACTATATTATTTATCATACTGCAAATGCAAAACATGACAAATTTGTTGAAGCATACATTCAGCAGCAGAAAATTATTATTATTATTATACAGCACATCAAAGATTACAAATACATGTGTCGATATGCTTTTATAATTATTGTAAATATTTTCAAGGGAACAAAACTCTCATAACTTACCCGAACTCTGGGATTTTGACTTCTTCCTTGGACAGCCAGTGGAAGAATCGGCCTCCTCTTTCAAAACTGGAGACGACTTACATCTCATGCGGCAGAAAAAAGCCCGACGAGAACCTGGGCACAATTTGGTAAGTCCCTGTGGAACATCAGTCTTCACAGGTAGAAGTGCTGTAAAAAATAAATGACATACTGTATTTAAGTCTCTCATATTGCTGACTCTTATAATTCATTAAATTTTGTTCTCTTTTTATCTCCAAAATCAATTTCTCATTTACTAAACTGTCAACTTTCCATCATCATCATCACTACTCCATTTTCCAGTTTCACCAGCAAAGAAGAAACATGATAGCAAATAGAAGTCCAAATAAAGGAAAAAAAAAACAATTGAGCATAGTGAAACAGCCTTATTGAGTATATTCCTCAAATGCTTCTATAGCCAATCATATATGATCCATCCTTGGACTCAAATCACCCACCAAGTTCTCCTTACTTTAACCTCCATTGTGACATATCATTGCAAATAGTTTTATCGTATATGACAGGAAGGAAGATTAACTCAAGCCACCACTGAGAGTGCACTGGACCTTCTAAATAGGTGGTCTTCGAGTTTGTTCAATACAGGGCTATACCTTAAACCTTTCGATGAGATCATCCCTACCGTGTTCAGTTCGTAGTAGTGTTAATGCTGAGACCCCCTCAACCTTTCCTGACCATTAGAATAAACTTTGTTCTGGGACAATTTTGATCACTTTTTCCATGGCAGTTATGTCTTTTGAAGGTGAGGTCTGCATTACTGTATGTTTGCATACAGTAATCCAGATAAGGATGCACCGGAGATTTGTACAACTGAATAACCACTTTCTTTTCCCTTGATGTCAAAGGTTTGTTTGATTATTCCTATGGTTTTTATACTGCAGTTCCCACTTGTTGAGCAACTATCAATGAGTAGTGAATCATAATTCAAAAGACCTTGCCCTAATTGATCTACTGTAGTCATACAAATCATTTATGATGTGTATTGTTATGCCAAACAATGATTGGTGCTCAATCAATCCTCCCCGGCCAGAATACGAACACATGCCAAAGCGCTCGCGAAGCGCCGGGTGAGTGTTTTACCACTGCGCCACAGCAACTGCTTAAAAATAGTAGAAAAATAGTAGAATATGTGTTGAATATAGCAAATCTAGGGACGTAAAACCGAGAAAACTTTTACTTCTTTTCGTAAAATTCTCAAAATTAAATATACTACCGTACTACACTGTCCAATGCAATGCTGAACTTACTTTTGGCATCCACAAGCCTCTCTCGACGACTAATATCTGAACAGGAAAGTTGTTCCTTTACTTTTGCTAGGTCTTTCGGGTGCAAAATATCAAACCAACTGGTTCCCAGCAATTCTCCCTAGAAGATATAAAAAGTGGTAAGATACTGTATAAGAAAATAACGTCTCGTATATTACAAAGCAACATCAAATACACTACACTCTCCAAATCTAGATTCTATCAGGGTTCACATAAACAGTCCTCACAAAATCAATGAGGCCAACTGGTTTAGTAACTGTAGCAACTAATCAATTAATCTGTGTATCATATAAAAACATAATGACAAAAATTTAGCTATTTATCATACCTGAGTATAATGAAGAGTTTGGTATACTGATTCTGAAACGTATAATATTCGGCCTCTATCACAACCCACGACAAACAAGAAACCATCTGCAGCCTGAAATATTAAATTATTATTTCAAAGATCTGAATCATATCAAAATAATTAAACCCAAATCAATAGTGCCAAAACCAAGATTTTTTTTTTTAAATAATCTCAAGTGAAATTCTCATTAATATGTTTATTTCTACCTTTCTAAGTCTTTTCTAATTTACATTTGTATTCCATAATTTTTCAAAATTTGTATTAAATTGAATTACAACAATTCTGAACTAGGACCCCTAAAATGTTTACCGAGATCGAGGCTAAATACTGTACATAAAATACAGTATTAAGTTCACTCGGGATTTATTTCGCTTGCCATCCTCTGTGACTTGTCCTCTAATGGTGATATGTGACTGTAAATGTAATTTAAGCAGGGAAGACAATGGAGAGTCCACTTCAATCCACTACCTATAATAGTCATAAAACATATACAGGTATTCACTTGCCAGCTCTTTCGAGACTGTCTCAAATGAGCAGACTGGTTGTTAGTCTTTATGCAGGGAGTATCATGCATTTATGTTCACTCGTACTGTGGTGCCTAATTATTCTCATGTCTATTGCTTTCCACTTTAGCATTGTTTCAGGATTTTCTTCCCTGACACGTATTGAGAAATGCATTAAGCTTTCAGAATTAACTTTCCTGATGCTATTTAGCATAAACCTTCTGGGTAGTGATGGTCTTGTTTAGTTGTCCACTACTGGATAAAAACCATAACGAACCTCTGGCTGGATATACCAAGCCTTAACCACTAAATGATCCCCTCCGGAAATCACCAGAGGAGACAAAGGCTGAAGATAAAAGAACTGATCCCCTGTGCCACAACACAACCCTGCCTGGGTTAGGCAACAACTGTGGGTTGCATCCTAAGGAAGTCTAGTTGTTGGTATAGGGTGACCTTGACAAACCTAACAGACTTTTGTCCTCGACAACCCAAAACTGTCAAGTATCTAAAATTCACATACCCATTCTAACATTTTCTAAATAAATAAGTCAATAGTCACAGTTGTCTCAACATACAGTATGGCAATTATATATTAATCTGTATTATCAATACTTGCAACAAAACACTGTTAAACCATTGGTTTTACTGTACTATTTACATCAAGAAAATTAGTACAAAAACTTTTTAATGTTCACCTGTAAAATCAAGTTTTTTAGTTCGTCATCAGAGAGGAATGCTGGTTTGTAGTGTCCTTCAGTGTATGAATTGAGGGAGCCACGCAACATCTTCATATGCTGAACTGCCATTCGGAGGACTGTAAGTTTGTCAAGCTTCCGTGAAGTACACACAGGAATAATACTGCTTAGTTCCATTATATAGGTATTCATTTTGTCACGTCTACGTTTTTCAATTTCACTGTGATTTTGTCTGGAAAGAGAACATGTTCTATATTACACATTTTCTATTCATAGTTCTACTGCATTAATTATAAATAAACCAATTAGCATTACATATTACTGCAACTCTGACTAAGCGCCACACATAGACAGTCAAACATTCACGTTATTCCTTGGCCCAGTAATTCAATTCAAATGCAGTACAGGACTAGTAGCAAATATAGCCGTCTGGCAACAGAATTAATAAATACTGTATAATAACAAAAGAACATCACTTGTATGTATTTATCTAAACAGTACAGTAATGCTATATGGTGGAGGCAACATGGGATGAAACCCCCTCATCCTTCTGCTAGTATATACTGTACATACTTTTTTATGATACATATACAGTACTGTACAGTTCTTGCATCACAGATGGTGAAAGGCCTAAAAAGAATCACCTTTGGATTCTAGAACCTGCATAGTTCATAATCCCTGCATCACACTCATACAAAAAGAAGGGTGACCAAGACGAAGAAGAAATGGAAGAGGAGGAATGGGGGGGGGGGGATGATATTATATACTGTACCATATTGTATCATCTCAGCATGAGAAGGAACATGAATGAAAATTTAACTTACTTTTTATTCCAGTCTCCTGCTGTTCTAGGTATTTTAATAGAGTCTGCCTCATCATCATTGCTATCACTGTAAGAAAGTGTTTGCTGCAATTAATTTGACATATCAGAATCAATATATATACAGTAACTGTATTAATATTTTCCAGCTAACTTATTCTGTATTGCAAAACTCATGATTTTTTTTTATCAAATTAAAATCATGCAGATTTAATATTAGATTTATGGTTAAAATTAAACTGAAATATAATTTTCCTAAGCCTTTTCATGCTAATGTAAGATGATATCAGAAAATCTTCTGATCTACATAAAGCATGGAATTAATAGAATGTATTTAAGTTTTGTTTTGACTATTAACATTTTAGTTCTTTATCTTCCTGTTTGCTTCAAACAAATTATTTCCGTTAATTCTGGGTTCCCTGATAAATGTAATAGACTTACATTATAAACAATTTACAGTACTGTACATACAAAATTAGTATAATTTATTTCTTTACTGTACATACTCACATAAACGATCCTCTCCTCTTTTTAGAGCCGCCATCAGAAGAAAACGAAGCCAGAGAATTACACTCGGACCGATATTTGGGAAAGTCGAAGTTGCTCATTCCAAACATCTTACTGGATTACCACCTATTGAAGTACAACAAAAATATTTTGATTAAGTTATGCAATGCTATTACGTAATTTTTAACATTAACTTACAAATATTTATTTTGTATGAGTTGCATGATAAGTAAATTTAAATTTCCCTATAGTGTAAACTCCTAAGACATATGTACTTAAAGTAGTCTTAGATTTTTGTTTTACAGGATATAAATATGTTAAAAAACAGGATATGGATATGTTATGGAACAGGATATGGATATGTTATGAAACAGGATATTGGTATGTTATGAAACAGGATCTGGGTACTTTATGAAACAGGATCTGGGCATGTCATGAAACAAGATATGGGTATGTTATGAAACTGGATATGAGTATAGTAAGAAAAATGATATGGTAATGTTATGAAATATTATATGGGTTTATTATGACATATCTACATAGTTATGTAACCTATCCCTATCCTCTTTCACTATACAGGGTCCTCTAGCACAATGGTCAGAACAATTGGCTCACAACCATAAAGTTCCAGGTTTGATTAAAAAGTTGGACCGGGAGGGGGGGGGGGAAAGAGGTTAAAAGTTTACTTTCACCTGATGCCTCTGTTTACCTCTCAGTACATATATATATATATACCTGAAATTTTGACAACTATTATGGATTGCATCCCGAGGAAGGCTAATAACTGGCCCCTAAAGGTGACCTCGATTAGCCTAATAGGTTCCTTCTTAAGGAGAAACAATGGGAAGGAAGATTGTCTCCATATACAACACATCCTTGTTGGTTCAATACTGGACAGGCGTCTAATTCTGAAGACATGCCAGGCTAAAACTCACTGGTGTCATTACCTCAGATGACGAATCTTCGTAACCATAGAAAAGGTGGAGAATATTTCAGTAATTCTTCGATATCGCTCGAGATTTCCATTACATTTCTGTTTGTAGCAGAAGCAAAACAAACTCAGCTGATCAGCTGCTCCCTAAGTGTCTACCGGATGAGAAAACTATCGTACAGAACTTGATTTGCAAAGTGGCTCAACATTTACAAATATCACATGGAGTGGATATATGTCTTATCAAATATATCTATAATTGCTTGTGGTCAGACAGGTATAGCAAAAATCTCCTTAATTCTACCTAAAGCCCTCCACTTCCCCTAGAAACCAACTATGGAGCCATAGCAAACAAAAACTTAGCTATGTACGAAAAAAGAAACTGGGATTTCTAGCAAACATATAACCATAGAGCCCTAGCAAACAAACCTGGAGCAGCTAGTATACAAACAACCCTTGGAGCACAACCATGCACGAACTGAAGCCCGACTATGCACAACCTGAAGCCAGAGTGACACCCCCGGAGCCCGACCAGTTAAGTGACCGGAGCCCGACCAGTTATTTAACCGGAGCCCGACCAGTTGTGTAACCGAAGCCCCACCAGTTGTGTAACCGGACCCCGACCAGTTGTGTAACCGCAAGCCTAGTAGTATACATCTCATCCAACCCCCACCCAAGCTAAACAGCCCCAGAGCCTAATCAAACTCTATTCCTAAGTAAGCAATTAAGGCACCAAACCGGGAAAGCTATGTAGCATCAAACTCCATTCCTAGCTCGACCAAACAAAAAACTCCTTAGTTCTACCTAAAACCGTCCACTTCCCCTAGAAACCAACTATGGAGCCATAGCATACAAAAAACATAGCTATGTACGAAAAAAGAAACTGGGATTTCTAGCAAACATATAACCATAGACCTCAAGCAAACAAACCTGGAGCAGCTAGTATACAAACAACCCTTGGAGCACAACCATGCACGAACCGAAGCCCGACTATGCACAACCTGAAGCCAGAGTGACACCCCCGGAGCCCGACCAGTTAAGTAACCGGAGCCCGACCAGTTATTTAACCGGAGCCCGACCAGTTATTTAACCGGAGCCTGACCAGTTGTGTAACCAAAGCCCCACCAGTTGTGTAACCGGACCCCGGCCAGTTGTGTAACCGCAAGCCTAGTAGTATACATCTCATCCAACCCCCACCCAAGCTAAACATCCCTAGAGCCCAACCAAACTCTATTCCTAAGTAATTATCAAAAGAAGGCACCAAACCGGGAAGGCTATGTATCACCAAACTCCATTCCTAGCTCAACCAAACAAAAATCTCCTTAGTTCTACCTAAAACCCTCCACTTCACCTAGAAACCAACTATGGAGCCATAGCAAACAAAAACTTAGCTATGTACGAAAAAAGAAACTGGGAGTTCTAGCAAACATATAACCATAGAGCCCTAGCAAACAAACCTGGAGCAGCTAGTATACAAACAACCCTTGGAGCACAACCATGCACGAACCGAAACCCGACTATGCACAACCTGAAGCCAGAGTGACACCCCCGGAGCCCGACCAGTTAAGTAACCAGAGCCCGACCAGTTATTTAACCGGAGCCCGACCAGTTATTTAACCGGAGCCCGACCAGTTGTGTAACCGAAGCCCCACCAGTTGTGTAACCGGACCCCGACCAGTTGTGTAACCGCAAGCCTAGTAGTATACATCTCATCCAACCCCCACCCAAGCTAAAAAGCCCCAGAGCCTAATCAAACTCTATTCCTAAGTAAGCAATTAAGGCACCAAACCGGAAAAGCTATGTAGCATCAAACTCCATTCCTAGCTCGACCAAACAAAAAACTCCTTAGTTCTACCTAAAACCGTCCACTTCCCCTAGAAACCAACTATGGAGCCATAGCATACAAAAAACATAGCTATGTACGAAAAAAGAAACTGGGATTTCTAGCAAACATATAACCATAGACCTCAAGCAAACAAACCTGGAGCAGCTAGTATACAAACAACCCTTGGAGCACAACCATGCACGAACCGAAGCCCGACTATGCACAACCTGAAGCCAGAGTGACACCCCCGGAGCCCGACCAGTTAAGTAACCGGAGCCCGACCAGTTATTTAACCGGAGCCCGACCAGTTATTTAACCGGAGCCTGACCAGTTGTGTAACCAAAGCCCCACCAGTTGTGTAACCGGACCCCGGCCAGTTGTGTAACCGCAAGCCTAGTAGTATACATCTCATCCAACCCCCACCCAAGCTAAACATCCCTAGAGCCCAACCAAACTCTATTCCTAAGTAATTATCAAAAGAAGGCACCAAACCGGGAAGGCTATGTATCACCAAACTCCATTCCTAGCTCAACCAAACAAAAATCTCCTTAGTTCTACCTAAAACCCTCCACTTCACCTAGAAACCAACTATGGAGCCATAGCAAACAAAAACTTAGCTATGTACGAAAAAAGAAACTGGGAGTTCTAGCAAACATATAACCATAGAGCCCTAGCAAACAAACCTGGAGCAGCTAGTATACAAACAACCCTTGGAGCACAACCATGCACGAACCGAAACCCGACTATGCACAACCTGAAGCCAGAGTGACACCCCCGGAGCCCGACCAGTTAAGTAACCAGAGCCCGACCAGTTATTTAACCGGAGCCCGACCAGTTATTTAACCGGAGCCCGACCAGTTGTGTAACCGAAGCCCCACCAGTTGTGTAACCGGACCCCGACCAGTTGTGTAACCGCAAGCCTAGTAGTATACATCTCATCCAACCCCCACCCAAGCTAAAAAGCCCCAGAGCCTAATCAAACTCTATTCCTAAGTAAGCAATTAAGGCACCAAACCGGAAAAGCTATGTAGCATCAAACTCCATTCCTAGCTCGACCAAACAAAAAACTCCTTAGTTCTACCTAAAACCGTCCACTTCCCCTAGAAACCAACTATGGAGCCATAGCATACAAAAAACATAGCTATGTACGAAAAAAGAAACTGGGATTTCTAGCAAACATATAACCATAGACCTCAAGCAAACAAACCTGGAGCAGCTAGTATACAAACAACCCTTGGAGCACAACCATGCACGAACCGAAGCCCGACTATGCACAACCTGAAGCCAGAGTGACACCCCCGGAGCCCGACCAGTTAAGTAACCGGAGCCCGACCAGTTATTTAACCGGAGCCCGACCAGTTATTTAACCGGAGCCCGACCAGTTGTGTAACCGAAGCCCCACCAGTTGTGTAACCGGACCCCGGCCAGTTGTGTAACCGCAAGCCTAGTAGTATACATCTCATCCAACCCCCACCCAAGCTAAACATCCCTAGAGCCCAACCAAACTCTATTCCTAAGTAATTATCAAAAGAAGGCACCAAACCGGGAAGGCTATGTATCACCAAACTCCATTCCTAGCTCAACCAAACAAAAATCTCCTTAGTTCTACCTAAAACCCTCCACTTCACCTAGAAACCAACTATGGAGCCATAGCAAACAAAAACTTAGCTATGTACGAAAAAAGAAACTGGGAGTTCTAGCAAACATATAACCATAGAGCCCTAGCAAACAAACCTGGAGCAGCTAGTATACAAACAACCCTTGGAGCACAACCATGCACGAACCGAAACCCGACTATGCACAACCTGAAGCCAGAGTGACACCCCCGGAGCCCGACCAGTTAAGTAACCGGAGCCCGACCAGTTATTTAACCGGAGCCCGACCAGTTATTTAACCGGAGCCCGACCAGTTGTGTAACCGAAGCCCCACCAGTTGTGTAACCGGACCCCGACCAGTTGTGTAACCGAAGCCCCACCAGTTGTGTAACCGGACCCCGACCAGTTGTGTAACCGCAAGCCTAGTAGTATACATCTCATCCAACCCCCACCCAAGCTAAACAGCCCCAGAGCCTAAACAAACTCTATTCCTAAGTAAGCAATTAAGGCACCAAACCGGGAAAGCTATGTAGCATCAAACTCCATTCCTAGCTCGACCAAACAATAAACTCCTTAGTTCTACCTAAAACCGTCCACTTCCCCTAGAAACCAACTATGGAGCCATAGCATACAAAAAACATAGCTATGTACGAAAAAAGAAACTGGGATTTCTAGCAAACATATAACCATAGAGCCCAAGCAAACAAACCTGGAGCAGCTAGTATACAAACAACCCTTGGAGCACAACCATGCACGAACCGAAGCCCGACTATGCACAACCTGAAGCCAGAGTGACACCCCCGGAGCCCGACCAGTTAAGTAACCGGAGCCCGACCAGTTATTTAACCGGAGCCCGACCAGTTATTTAACCGGAGCCCGACCAGTTGTGTAACCGAAGCCCCACCAGTTGTGTAACCGGACCCCGGCCAGTTGTGTAACCGCAAGCCTAGTAGTATACATCTCATCCAACCCCCACCCAAGCTAAACATCCCTAGAGCCCAACCAAACTCTATTCCTAAGTAATTATCAAAAGAAGGCACCAAACCGGGAAGGCTATGTATCACCAATCTCCATTCCTAGCTCAACCAAACAAAAATCTCCTTAGTTCTACCTAAAACCCTCCACTTCACCTAGAAACCAACTATGGAGCCATAGCAAACAAAAACTTAGCTATGTACGAAAAAAGAAACTGGGATTTCTAGCAAACATTTAACCATAGAGCCCTAGCAAACAAACCTGGAGCAGCTAGTATGCAAACAACCCTTGGAGCACATGCAACCATGCACGAACCGAAACCCGACTATGCACAACCTGAAGCCAGAGTGACACCCCCGGAGCCCGACCAGTTAAGTAACCGGAGCCCGACCAGTTATTTAACCGGAGCCCGACCAGTTATTTAACCGGAGCCCGACCAGTTGTGTAACCGAAGCCCCACCAGTTGTGTAACCGGACCCCGACCAGTTGCGTAACCGCAAGCCTAGTAGTATACATCTCATCCAACCCCCACCCAAGCTAAACATCCCCAGAGCCCAACCAAACTCCATTCCTAAGTAAGTAATTATCAAACACAAAAGGCACCAAACCGGGAAGGCTATGTAGCACCAAACTCCATTCCTAGCTCGACCAATCCCTGATAATTGTACAAGTGGGAACGGCAGTAAAAAACAACCAAACCCTGGGAATACTCAAGCGTACCTTTACCTTCAAGGAAAAGAAAGTAGACCTTCAATTGTGTAAGTTTCTGGTGCTCTGCCACATGAATTATTGCATCCAGGCATGGAGACCATCTTCAGAAAGACATAGCTGCTCCTTAGCCATGTCTTACCAGAGCTATGGAGCTATGTCTTACGACAAAAATCATACCAGAGCTTAGTCATCTCTCGTATCAGGAACGGTTGAGGGTCACAGGGCTAACACTGCAAACCAGGCATGACAGGGCGGACTTCATATAAACCTTTAAAATACTGAACAATTTGGAGGATGTCGATCAGGACAATGTCTTCAAAAGGTCAGATGTTACACGGACAAGGAGCATCGGGTTCAAACTCAAGCCAAAATGTTGGACAGGAAACAGATGCTTTTTCACCCATAGGGTTGTACACCCGTGGAACCACCTACCCGCCGAAGCCGTAAACGCCAAAATTCTGCTGGGTTTTAAAATACAGATGGAAAAGATCATCAGGGCAAATGGGGGGGACCTTTGACAAGCCACCGGCTTACTGTCCTCATTGAGGCCACTAGTGTTAGTGGCCCTCAGGTAAATTCAGTTCCTGGAAGGATGTCTCCACTCCTTCCCGTTGGGAAGTTGTTTATTTATTGCAGTACTTGTATACTGCACTGTCGCTTGTCACTGAATTAAGTTAAAACTATTAACTTAATGAAATAATATTACCTTATACGCGAGAATAATTCTGAATACGCAGTGTGCTTTGGGCCGGGCGTCAGCGTAGGCGAGCCTGGCCTGAGGACAGGCAACTGTAAATGCTTCACCCTCCACATACTTCAAGTGCAAATAATTGCCAACAGAACCTAAATACCGAACCTACTATACGCCTAATTAAACATAGAATATAAAATTAATTTATACACGATAAAAACTATTTTTAATACACAGTACATGAAAGTCGATAATAAATGCGTGTTGGGAGGTTGGGGGGAGGGGTCGACGCCGCGTTAACGAGCCTAGCCTGACGACGGGGTGGTTTAAAAAGAAAAAAGAAAAAAAGGGTGGTTTAACACTGGGGAAGTGTATTCTACACAATATCCTACCCATATAATGTTGGCAATTCATGATCCTCAAAATCTTCCACAATATCCGAGAGAGAGGACAGGCTATTTAGCATTAGTGGAATACAAACATTTGAATACTACAGAACCCGGATGAAAAAAATACGGAAATAATGGCCCTCGGAGACATTACAAAAACCTCAGTGGCGAACAAATGTATAATGCATTAAGCATTGTAGGTGGAGGTAGACTATATATTCATGCGTACCTCCCAACTGCTCAGATATATCAGAAAAAAAAATATCAGCCTTACCAATACAGGAGCGACGATGCTCATGCCGCCGCTGCTTCCTGACGACTGGCGGGGTCGGGGTCAATGCGCCGTACGCGACCAGCAGACCCAGAGACCCTCTGCCTAAAATTATTTGAACACCATACTGAAATTCCTAGCGCATAGCGCCAGGAGTGTGTAAATTAATATTTATATGCATTATAGGCCTTTCTAAAGTAATTTATAGATCTGAATATCATATATTGTCAAAAAAAAAAAAAAGAATTATTTAAGTTAATATTTTAATTATGCCAGATACAAGTCTCATCGCACACAAACAGATTCGTGAGCGGATTTATTTTTTATTTTTTTATTTATATATAAAAAGAGTTCTTAAATTCTAGTAAAGCCACTAGCATACATAGCGTTTCGGGCAGATCTTTAATCCTAATTGTTTCCCCGGAATACGACCCGCCAAATCGTTTAACAACCCATTCTCTGCTGGGTGAACAGTTAAGGATTGGCGCCCGGTCAATTCTTCCCAGCCAGGATACGAACCAAGGTCAAAGCGCTGGCTAAGAGCCGGGCGCGTGCTTTACCACTACGCCACAGAGACTGATCCGTGGCGTAGTGGAATTTTGAATGTTTAAACCTGACTAACCTAGCTCAACCCAACCTAACGTAACCGAAATCAAACCAGTTTAATCCAACCGAACCCAATACAGCCTAACCTTAATAACATAAACTAATACAGCCTAGCATAACAGCTATAGTACATCCGGTTTTAAAACAGAAAATGAGTTTAGCCGGATCGACTCGTGTCCAAAACGACCATATCCCGACCAGTTGTGTACCCACAGGTCTAGCATACAAACTTAACCAGACAATCGCCCCCTAACTCTACCAAGCACCAAAAGCTCTACCAAAGTTAGGAGGGTCCACAGGCACGGGCCCCAGTGCCCATCATCTGGGCTGGGGCCCAGCAACAGTGCATTGCTTTGCTCAGAGAGTATAATGCTGCTAACACAGTCCTGTCTTCAATAAGCAAACCTTTCAGGATTATTTAATTGGCTAAGATTTATCTGAATTTACCAGAGGGTCACTATCTCTCAGTGAGGATAGGAAGCCGGCGGCTTGTCAAATGTTCCCTATTTGCTCTGGTGATTTTATCGAGCAATGTTTTAGCATTTACAGTTCGGCAGGTATGCGTTTCCACAACTTTATAATTCTCTGGCTGCTATCGTGAGGTGCTTGTTTGTGTTGCATCTGACCTAACTAAACAAAATATAACCATCCAAGCATGGCACAATTTTTATTTATTTATGTCCGTGTTATGCACCCCATACCCATCTTGTGGGCGGTAGTGGAAAGGGTTACAGAGCCATTATGTGCCTCTGTAACTCTCTCCACTACCACCCACAAGATGGGTATGGGGTGCATAATAAATGAACTAAACTAACTTTATGTCCGTGCACTGTCCTAGTTTGAATTATGTTTAGCAGTTGCATACATTTTTTTTATACAAAATCCATAATACATTCTTGCAAATATTAAAGAATAAATACATTTAAATGATTATCGCAAGTTCGGAAATTCTCAAGTTCGCATGCTAGATTTCCTGCACTTCGGAAATTTTGTTTACTATCAGACATCAGGCAACACCTCTCTCCATTGTAAACATTTACATAATATTGGGAAGTTTACACATTTTGTCGTTCAATTAAATATAATTTACTCTACTTTTAATTCACAATTAAATATAAATTATGTTAAAATAATAGGTATTTTGCTAAAATGTTTGACTGCTGCTTATTTTCCATATAATTATTTTGTAAAGAGCTTATTTGAAACCTGCATGAACGAAGTTTCATATTTCCTAATTATTTAATTTGTTTTATTTTATTTATATATACAAGATTTCTTACATTCTTGTAAAGCAATTAACACGCATAGCGTTTCGAACAGGTGCTTAATCTTAATTTTCCCTGGAATAGGACCCGCCAAATCAACAACTGTTCATATACAATAAGCTTGTTATATAATGTTTTTTAGAATATAAAGTAGTGAATATTATTACACAAGTTTTTTAACTAACAGATGTAACTTTGATTATAAAATAAATATGCATACACTCGAAAGTATACCATAAACATGTGAGTTTTATAAAGCCTCGTGCTAGGTTTGTGTGGGGGGGGGGGGTGGTATTCTTTGTTCCAATAATGCTGAAGTGATCCAAATTTCCTCGACTTCAATAATAAGTTAACAATTCTTTGAGCAATAATTCCCAAACTATGAGTAAAAAAATAATATACATAAATCCCCTACAAAAAATCCTGACATACACAATGTGTTATTACAGGAATAATATATCAAGTCGAGGGTCTGTGGGCGTGTTGACAAACAGGAGCTGGTCCAGTCACCTCCCGCTTGTGAACGTCTTCTGCCTTGTTATATCTCTCACACAAGCCATCATGCCGGCTGAAAACCTTGAGGAACAGGGTCTGGAGAAGAACCCAGATCTCAACTTGGCGCAGATCAAGTTCAAACTGATGATGAGTGACTTTAAGAATGACTCCAAGATGAAAGCGGAGCTGTTGGAAGGCATCGAGAAAGACAGTGAGTGGTGGTAGTCAGTCGGCTTCTTGTTATTAATGAGAATACAGTCGCAAATATGATTGTAAACCACTCAAACCAATTATATAAATAAGTAATAATTAAGAGTTTTAAGTTTGGGATGCAGTTCATTCCAGTTTAAGGCTAAAATTTTGGTTTTATTTTCCTGGGTCTGTATCATGTTTATACAGTAATTCTTGGAAGAAATCTCTTAGGTTCATATTTTGCTCTGTGCAGCAATAAAATTTAACTATATTGCCCAAGAAAATGATGGGGATTATTAATGTGACTGCCACTCCTTACACAAAAAATCCCTCATGGTAATCAGATCACATGGAGGATTTTGTCCCTTGTCGGACAAAATTTATAATTTTTAAATATATATAACTTTTGTATATTTTGTGCATATATTTTATACCTGTATATGTACAATATACAGTATAATATTTTTTTAACACTTTTGTGGCAAGTTCACATTATGAGATAAACATAGGGGCAAGGTATCTATTTTCTCATGCTATGATAGCATTGACCGATGCTATTCACTTGGCAACAGTGAACATACCAACCTGTTCCATTCACCTGGCCTCTAGGAATCCCATGAAGTCCATGGTTCAAGACCCTAGAGCCCAGGTGAATGAAATGTTTATTTCCACAGAAGTGTGGATGACAATTTATACCAATCTATATTTTCAGTATTTTGTAGGTTTCGTGAAGCTAAATCAGCCTAGTTGTGCTAGAGGGCAGACTGATGTTATAATTTGGACATGTTTCTCATTTATCCAACTTTGAAGTATGGTTTAATATGGGATTAAATGTTACTAAATATGTTGCATCTATTTTGGCAATGTGTGTTGGATGGTGTTTCTGATGTACTGTATTTCAGATTTAGGGTGATATTTTTTATTTGTTCCTAACAAAAACGTTTTCTTGTTATAGATGTATACAATTTATAGTCATTATTAATTTGTTAGTTTCTTGAAATTCTGATTTTTACTTAGGAAAAGATAGCTAAACCCTCATTTTCATTCTCCCTTATTTTTTTGCCCAGATTCTTATTTATTTACCAAGGGAGTAAATCAGCTGTTCTTGACTTACCATGGACCCAACCTGAATTTTTTATTTTTAATTTTTAATTGATAGACATTTTTTCTCATGTCCTGGTACAGTAAATTTATAAAAATGATTAATTTGTTAATGTTAAAAAAGCTGTCAGAGAAAAAGGCACAGAGAAAAAGGCTGTCAGAAATATACCCCCATTGTAAATGTTAAAACCTGTTCACATACTTCAATGCTATACTAGATATGTATACCGTAGTATATTTCCTCCATTAGAAATTATCATCAAATATATAATGTCTTATATTTGGTCACTGTACAATGCTTTTAAACTTCAGTATTCTATTCTCATAAAGGTTTAAATATTTGACTAAAGTAATGTAGCAATACTCGGTTCTAACGTTTGCCATTCTCTTTATGAATATAAAAAAGGGTTAATTCACTACACTAAAATATAATAGAAAACGTATATATATATAAGGTATAATATTCTAACAGAGCATTACCGTTAATTATAAACATTCAATAAATTTAATATTAGTACAGAACTTATATTAGGAATTTTTCCCTCAGACATGGCACCATTCTACGAGGAATGTAGCCGTGATTTAGGCTGGCAGCTTGACAGTGCCATGCTTGATAAAATGAAGAAGAAAAACGAGGCAGAGCTGCGCAAAATGAATGAAGCTATTGAGGAAGCAGAGAAGTCCATGGGAGAGACAGAGATTCGAGAGGCAAACTTGAAGAAAGCTGAATATCTTTCACGCATTGGAGACAAGGTATGCCCAAAAAGATAATTGAATTATGCTGTATAAGATAGTCCTTACTACTCAATATTAATTTGTTGAATTATGTTTACTTTGAAAGGAGTATGAAGCAATATGAAGACATTGTTGTACTCATAATCTTAAGAGATTTTAATATTCTTTTTAATTCTAGGAGGAAGCAGTAAAAGCTTTTGCTAAAACCTACGATAAAACAGTGTCTCTTGGGCAGCGTCTGGATCTTGTGTTTCATAACATTCGTCTCGGTCTTTTCTATCTCGACCACTCGCTTATTACAAGAAATTTAGAAAAGGCTAAAAGGTATGCAATGTTTATTTGCACTTACCCTATGTACTTTATATGAAGGAAGGGAAGGGAACTATCAGGAGAAATTGCCAAACTATTATGATTATATAGCACTTGGAAGGAATCAGGATAAGGATTGGGGATGGGTCGGGGGGAGAGGAATGGTGCCCAACCACTTGAATGGTCGACGTTTAATCTACTGTCCAGCCCAAGTGGTTGGGCGTACTTTATATGAGTTAAAACTTATAATGTTCAGTTTGATTTTGGGAAAATTTAGTAATTGGTGAACATGATACAGATCAGATACTAGTCACCATGGTTTACAACCATTAACAAATAATTTATTGTGCATTTGCACAATGCTTTGTGTATATACTGCATATTACTTCTGCTGTCCTTAAACCTTTTTAATAATGAATTATGTAACTTTAATTTTTTCTAAAGTTCACATGCATGCATTCTTAAACAAATTTTATTAAAATGTTTTTCATGACCATTGATGGTTAAACATTAACTTGGAAGACAAAATGCCCTTGATATATTTAATTTTCTTCATCTACTGCTTATTGTTATAGCCTAATTGAAGAGGGAGGAGATTGGGACCGCCGCAATCGGCTAAAAGTATATGAAGGCGTTTACTGCATGGCTGTCCGAGACTTCAAAAAGGCGGCCAACCTCTTTTTAGATACTATCAGCACTTTCACCTCTTATGAGTTGATGGACTATACTAGGTTAGTACAAAACACTATTTACAAAATATAAAATTATAATGGTAAAAGAGTACAGTAAATCAGCAATTAGTGCAATATATTACTATTGACTGGAGGTACCATAACAAACACATTTCTATTTGATATTTCCCATGCATGCTTGTATTAAATTCAGATTTTCCAGAATGCAGACTTGTGAAAATTAAGGTCCCACAAGCAAAGTTTACTTATAATTAGTCTAGCCATATTTTTTTCTTAGTATAGGTGTCAGTATTTATTTACTGATGTCATTCTTACTACTGTACTCTTTGATATTTTCTCAGTCAAGTTGTTCTTAATATTGCAGATTTGTAGGTTACACCGTGTTGGTGTGCATGATTGCCCTTCCCCGTAATGACCTTAGAACCAAAGTTGTGAAAGGTTCAGAAATTCAGGAGGTCCTTCACTCGGCTGAGGATCTCAAAACTTACCTACTGTCATTGTATGAGTGTCAGTACCATACATTCTTCCAGAAGCTCTGTAAGATTTATAATGGCTTGGGTTTTCATATTTAACTTGTAATATGAATATACAGTAATTGATGTTGAATTCTAAAAATATATATTTCCTGCGAGCAGTTAACTTCAAAACTGAACTCTGATTCATTGCTTTGTAATTAGAGAACATATAACCAGTGAGTTTCAATTAAACTATACAAGATTGAATTTTATATTGTGCTTGCTCCTTTTTATAATACCTTTGAAAAATTCTCTAGCCTGGGTTGAAGGCGAGTTGCGTCATGACCGACTCCTAGCACCCCACTACAGATACTACGTGAGAGAGATGAGAATTCTGGCATATACACAGCTGCTTGAATCTTACCGCTCTCTCACACTTCATTATATGGCTACAGCATTTGGAGTTTCCAATGAATTCATCGATCGGTTAGTTACAACTTCTTATGAAGCTATTGTAGTTATTAATGTATTCAATAATAATTGTATATTTTATACAGTGGCACTTTGGTTTACGAATTTAATCCGTTCCAGGAGACAGTTCATACACTGAAAATTTGTAAACCAAAACAAATTTTCCCATAAGAAATAATGTAAATTAAATTAATCTGTTACACACACACACAAATATTATATTAAATATAATGAAGTAAATGCTACTCATGAGTCAATACTACTCATATTTTTACTATACCTTACCTTTAATGAGGAACCTTGTTGGCATATGTAAGACGGTGAGGTGAGTAGGGGAAGAGGAGAGGTGTTAGTGTTTGGAAGAGTAGTCCCCTTCCGTTATGACATCAGGCAGTGATGACATTTCTGGGGTACTCTCTCCTATGTTTTGCAGGCATACCACTAGGACCTAGTTGTGGCTCATTGCTTGCTTGTCTTATTAAGAATCTGTTTACAGACACTTGGTTTTTCCTATGTTTTAGCACTTGTGTGTAGTGAGACATTATCATTTAATGATATCACATTATCATTAAAAAGGTTAATGCAACGGCCTGCTACAGCTTTGGTTGAATTTTTTCAGCAAAACTTTGCAGTTCTTCCCATACTGCACACATTTTCTTAATTAATGAGGAAGGGACATCCTCTACTGCCTCGTCCTTCCCTTTCAGCAAAATTTATTGCTTTTGTATCTGCATCACTCATTTCAGGCGTTTTCTTTATAAGATTTTCATGTTGTACTACTGTACAACACTGCCTTGCTTTATCACAAAAGATGGCCTCTGAAATGCTATCACCTGCTAACTGCTTGTTGTTTATCAAATTAATAATACTTTTCAACATCCTCAAGTGTTTGTGTTCTTTGTTTTGTGATTGTTTTTATGCCTTTTGCCACTTTAGCACTCATTATGTCCTTTTTCTTAGCAATTAAGGTACATATTGTTGACATAGATTTGTTGTACTGCCTAGCTAGATCAACAACCTGTTATCCTCATTAGTATTTTCTTAGGTTGAACTTTACCACTGACTTTCTTGGGACCCATGGTGTGATATATAATAAAAATTATGTTCAGAAACCAAAAAAGCTGAAAAAAATTAAATTCTTAACAAAGTCTAAATCAAGCGGTAAATAAAGTCTAAATCAAATCAAATTAAATTCTTAACAAAGTCTTAATCAAGCGGTCGTCACTAGGCAGGATACACTGGTAAACTGAGCGTGCCTTGCCCTGCGCCCAGCAGAACCCACCCACTTGACTCATACATGTATCAACAAACACTTGTATTCCAAGACCAACTTTGTACACCGAGTCAAATTTTACGAGGAAATTAACTTCGTATACCGAAAAATTCGTAATCCAGGGCATTCATAAACCAAGGTTTCACTGTACAGTACTTTATCTACATTTAATATAAAAATATTTGATGAATGCTATCTGTATAAGACCCATTGTCTCATGTAAGGCGAGTCCTGTTTATGTCCATCCACTCTCACTTCTGTATTTGTCTAACTGTTGCTTGAAAGTTTTCAGTGAGTTTGCTTCTATACTATTATTGCGTAACTTGTTCCATAGATCTGCAACTTTATTTCTGAACCAGTAGGAGGGCTTCCCTCTGTATCTCACATCAGCCTCAGGAGTCCTTAATTGCCTACAGGAGACCAGAGCCAGACTTTGCTGCCCCTTCACAGAACTAACGGTATTTTTTATGATCACCTTACCAAAGGAAATGCCCAGAAAGTAAGCTAGACAAAAAGGGCAACTGCAAGGTTCACAGACAGAGAGAAATGACGCAGCAAATGATTCACCCAACATTCAGCAACACCCAGTGTGCTGCCAGCTGTATTTAGTGGTTTTGAATCCCTGGGTGGATTATTTGCAGAGTGCTTGCTTCTTCGTTTATCTTTTCCTCTGTGAACTTTGCAGTCGTGTGTTTTGCTCTGGATGTTTCCTTTCGTGAGGTGATTGTAAAAAATCCCCTGCTGCCTGCACTTCTGCGAGGGGTCAGGGTCAGGTCTATGGTAGGCCATTAAAGATTCCTGGGACTGATATGACTTAAGTGTAGCTGTTTCAATAGCTTCAGGGAGCTACTGTTTGTCTTCACCTAATTGCATATGGCAATTTGCAGATGGGAGGTAATTGCAAATAGTTATTGGAGCAGTGCAAAGTTTAACTAGTTTTCTTCACTCTTAAATATGATGAACTGAAATTATGTTGGGGATTTTTTTTTGTTACCTAATCACGATAAAATAATTTTGAATGCCATCCATTTCTTTTTTAGAATTCTTTTAATTTAAGATTAAGTTTAGGCAGCAATGGCATGTAGTTTCATCATATCAGTGTATAAAATTACTATGTTAATTGCTTTATTCAAAATTTTCAGGGAATTATCACGATACATTGCTGCTGGTCGTCTTCACTGCAAGATAGACAAAGTTGGCGGCATTGTTGAGACCAATCGCCCAGACTCAAAGAACTGGCAGTATCAGGCTGTTATAAAACATGGTGATATTCTTTTGAATAGAGTTCAGAAGTTGTCAAGGGTTATAAATATCTAGTTCCTGGGAATTATATTTGAATTTATTTTTTATGGCAAACCATTTTTCTAAAAGCTTGTAATACATTTAGTCATATTAAAATGTAAATTAATGAGCTTGGTCTGTTTATTTGAATTTCCCGTCTTAAGTGTTCTTATTGCTGTACTATTTTGTGTGAAGATAATATTCATTAATTTGTAAATGCCATGTCTAATTGAAATATTTTCCAAATGTAACATTTCTGTAATGGAACTTTGTTACACTTTATCCATATTCAATTTGTTGTAATATTTATTAATAATTTTTGTATAAAAGTAATAAATTAAAAATATTAACTTTAATATCCTAAATAGCATTTATATGCAGTGTGCATCATAGCAGAATGAAGATAACGGTAGTGTGTTATCTCCTTGACCCGGGGCAGGAGGGAGGGAATTATCAGGGGTAAAGCATGCATTATGACTACTGGATAGCACTTGGAAGGGGTCAGGATAAGGATTTGGGATGGGATGAAGGGAAAGGAATGGTGCCTAACCACTTGGACAGTCAGGGAGAAGTTTTGAAACTCTCCAGGTAAGTTTTAGATCTGCTGGCCGATGCTATTTTTGTGGCAGAGTGAATACGTTGAGGTCCCATTCCATTGTTTTGCACCTTTCACAGAATGGTGGGGGCAGCAGCTTGCCCTGTTTTAGTTCCTGGTCCTATGAATTGTGGGTCCTCAGGTTGTTTTACACAGCCTGCAGTGGTTGGTTGATCCCTCTAATGTATTGGGTCATTTTGGAGTGGGTTGTGTCTGGCCTAGTTGATGCGTGTTTGTTTTGCGTCTGCTAGATTCTCCACAGTTCACATTTGGGGACTGTCTAATGTTCTTGCAGACTGTCACATGGTTCCTTCCATTTCTAGGGAGTGAACCATCAGCTTAGAATTGGTGCCCCTCTCTACATGGTTCCATTCTCTGATCACAAGGTCCTTGCAGTGGATGCCTTTTGGCTGGACTGGTTACGGTGGGGAGTTTCTGTACTTTTATTCCCCAGTCCAGCTTTGGCTTTGTCCTAGCAGGGAAAGGTGCTCCGTGGTAGCTGGCTCAGCCATGTTTTGAGACGCTGCTTGCTCGGTGTCCTAACCTGGACATTTTCCATAATCTTTCAGATCAGTCCAGTGACATACCTTTCTTTTTCAAATTACCCACCTCTCTGCATCTTTATTGCCATTTATAGTGGGCAGGTGGCTAATTTAGTGTCCCACCTGTATGTAGTTGTCTTCTCGATGGCGGTACAAGATTTCCTGAAACTTTCTTTCTCTTCATCATTTTTTTCAGTCTCTGTTCATAGGTGTCCTTTCAATGTTCTTTCTGGATCAGTATCTCATGCCAAATGCTGTTACCTCTTACTTTATGGTACCGGCAGAGCTGCTGCTACTGCAGCTTGAGTTTAATGTTGTCTTCGGTGCCATATTGTTAGCTATCTTGCACAGTTTCATGTCTAGCCTGGATATGTGCTGTTTGAGCCTGCTTTGTCCTTGGACTGTGTTCCCATCTTCCTCCTCAATTTATGGTGCCCCACTGTGGTCTGGGATAATTTTACTGAAGCTCTTTCTTGATTGTTCTTTCCTCTGGTTGTAGGGTCGGGAAGGTTCATGCTTTCCTCTGGCGTAATGAATTTTGTTTGCAGCCATCACCTTTCCTGGTGAAGAATAAGCTGGTAGGCTTCTGAATAAGTCTGCCAATAGTTGGCAGGAATAAGTTGGGGTCCTGTGGTTGTGGATGTTTGGTTGGTTAGGCTGGGAATGTCTGGTTGCTCTTCTGTGCTGCTGATTCGGCCTCAGTGGCTGTTGTGTGGGTTGATCCCATTTCCTTGGTTCCCAACTTCAAGGCTTATCTGCAGTGTCATAGCCAGCAGTTTAACCAAGTACAGGGGTATCTCAGTTTATGAACTTAATCCGTTCCTAGAGACCGTTCATACACCGAAGCGAATTTCCCCATAAGAAATAATGGGAAAATAATTAATCCGTTCCAGACAAAGTAAATTGTATACCTAATTCACTCAAATCTTCACTACAAAAGTATGTACAAGTTATTACTTACCTTTACTGATGACTCCTGTTGGCGTATGGAAGACAGTGAGGAGGGTGAAGGAGAGGTGTTACTGTTTGGAAGGACGAATCCCCTTCCATTATAACATCAGGCAGTGAGGACTTCACTGGGGTACACACATTGGCATGTTTTGCCAGCATACCACTAGGACCTGCTTCTGGCTCACTGCTTGATTTTCTCACTAGAAATTGTTTCATTGAAGATTGTTTTTCCCCTTCTTTGTAACACTTGTCTGTAGTGAGACATCACATTACCATTAATAAGATCAATGCAACGGCCTGCTACAGCTTTATCTGGGCGATTCTTTTCAGCAAAACTTTGCAGTTCTTCCCATACTGCATACATTTTCTTAATTAATGAGGAGGGGACATCCTCTACTGACTCATCCTCCCCTGAAGATTTGTTGTACTACCTAGCTAGTTCACCAACACTTGTACCATTTTCATGTTTATGAATGATCTCTTGTTTTTCCTCTATGGTCATTCTTGCATGCGTTTTTCTTGCCTTGAACCTTACCACTGGGTTTCTCGGGATCCATGGTGAGATATATAATAAATTTTATATTCAAATAGCCAAAAATCTGAAAAAGCTGTAAAGCCTTGCAAAGAATTCAGGCGCGATAGTTACTAGGCGGGAGGCACTAGTAAACTAAGGCGCGATCACCTTGCCACCACGCACTAGGTTGGCCATACGCGTATCAACAAACTCGTTTCCAGAGGTAAAGTTCGTAACCCGATTCAAATTTTCTGAAGAAATCGGGCTTGTAACCCGAAAAATTCGCAATGGGGGGCATTCGTAAGCTGAGGTACCACTGTACTGGGGCATGAGGGGTATGTTTCCTGGCCTCATCGTGTCTATGCTGCTGCCTTGGGTTCCCGTCTCTTGGCCTGGAGTCTCCCCTTCACTATGACTGGAGTTTCACCTCCCTGGTAAGTCTGTTTTTCTTCTCTGTGGGTAGTCTGCTTCAGGGAGCCACAAGGGGCTCTTCCAAGAACACCAACATTGAATATAAATGTTGTTTTGTGGCTCACCTAATTTGGATGAACCACGGTGACCTCCTGATTCCCTTCCAGGTCATCGGTTGGGGTTTTTTAGTGTGCGTATTTGCTCCAGAACTGATAGCTCTGCCATTGGGAGGCATGACCCCTCACCTCTCCACCCAGGCTAATGGTATTGGATTGGTAAATGAGTGCACATTTGTTTTGAAAGTTTCAATAGTTTATATTGTTGGGGAAGTTTGTTTTGCAGTTTTGAGGCTTTGCTCTCTTTGAACCCAGCAGTGGTCTGTATTGGTTTGCCGACTATATGGATGCTTTCCTGGTGAGGCGGTAGTGTCACCTGCTTCCTATGCCATTGTGAGGGGGCCAGCTTTTGGCTCTAGTTTAAGGTAGGCCAAACAGAACTCCACCGCCAATGCAATCTAGTAATTTAGAGCCATCTCAGATAGCATCAGAACCAGTGGGACTCGCTTTCTCACCCAGAGAGAGGCTTTTCATTATACAGGTATTCAACATATTTTTACTATTATTCATTCAGACATATGCAAACCAAAATCAACAGCCTGGGTACTTTATAGCTGTTTCAGCTAACCATATTTGCTTGAAATATCTCTGCCACTGGGAAAAGCTTAGCCTGGCATATTTGGGTTTTTGTGTCATCTTTCTGCCCTTGGAACATGATGGGGACAACACAATTGCTATATCACACCAATTCATTAGAATCTGCTGATTGTTATTTGTATATATCACTGGATATGTCAGTTTTCACCATTTCCTTGATAAAATGCAAGAATAAACCAAAATAGCTCTATAAACGCATAAACAAATAACAAAAAGATGTCAGACTTAATGCTACAAATTTGTTAACTAAGTGCTTTCAAGGCTGAAGGGTAATACAAATTACAAAAATATAATTTAGCCTTTATTTACATCATCATTTAGCTAATATTGCTTAGTTGAAAAAATAATAGCAAAGCAAATGCTGCAAAGACAAAGCGAAATAAAATTTAGCATTTAATTTTCAGCCACCATAACATTATGGTGTCAATCGAATCTAAAACTGTGACTGCTCTCTTGAACCAACTTCTATTTAAAAGTGGCATAGTCTTAATTGAATATTTGGCAAGTGGAATACAAATAATACTCAAGTCCAATTTAGTTGGAAAATAAGGATAAAAATTTTAGTGAATTATTTACTTCTAATGTGAAATGCTATTTGAGCAAGAGCTATGAAATTATTTGACTATGTTTCTTCAAGTTCAACTAGGACTCCAGCACAATCTTTCGGATGCAGAAATACTACTGGTTTACCATGAGCGCCAATTTTAGGTTCATTACTTAAACAACGAATATTTTGTCCTTTAAGATCTTTCATTGCAGCATGAATGTCATTTACTTCAATGCAGATGTGATGGATGCCTCCGTTCTTGTTGTTCTGTAGAAAATTCTGAAACACAGGAAAGTTACAATGAAAGAGCTAAATAAAATACAGGGAAGGTATTACCGATTCTTTAAAATATTGGTAAGAGTACACGGATGAAGAAAAAACGAGTGAGGTAGATAAGGCTGATGGTATACAGACTATGGGGGGGGGGGGAAAGGACAGTAAAAGACTAAAGAAGAGAAGGATGAAGGGGTAGAGTAATTTGTGTTTAAATGAGATTGTGAGTGGGCATGGGTACAGAGGGCATATGGTGTGGGAGAGTTGTATAAGCGTATAGTCAATGGGGCAAGGGTTCCAAGGGAATATGGAGGGTAGACATATGATTGGGAGTAGCTCAAGTAACTTTACAAGCATCAGGTCAAACATACCAAATGCATAGAACAAACACAACAAGTAAACAAACTTACCAAGAATTTGTGTAAGTTTCAAATTACTAGCAAAAACTAATTTTACAAATTTGTTCTACAAGATCTTTATTTGTTTACACTTCTAATTTGGAAAAAATAATATTTTTTCATATACAGTACAGTATACCATTAATTATGACAACAAATGGTGAATGAGCCCTGAAAAAATAAAATTAAATAATTTTCATACAAATAGCTCATTCCAATTTGTAAATTGACTCCAGTGTCCTCTAATGTACATTGGAAAAGCAACACTTATGATCATCCTGAAAATAAGGACATTCTATGAGGTGGTGCACAAGTGTTAAGTAGGATATTGCAGTTCAGATAATGAGGAAGGAGGAAGGCAGTTTCATTTAGTGGCCACGAGAAACATGTGGTGTTAACACACGGCAAATCCAGAACCATTTTTCACCCATTATAATGTAGGAGGAAGGCCATTAGGATAGGTTACATTTAAGAGTACACATTTTATTACCTGTAATACCTAATCACTGATTGTGCCAATGGTTGCAGATACATATACTGTATCTCTATGACTAGAAACCTGAATATGGAGTTTCATTATGGGAGACGGGAAAGGCATGAATGGCCTCCTTTGCAGCCATGCCTGGAAGTTCGCTTGAAGTAATGCCAATATTGCTGGGTACCCAACAGAATTTGTCTTAAATCTGTTGGATAAATACCAGCTGGCATTATATTTCAACTATCACAGGATGGGTTGGAAAGACTACTTAGCCATGAGGGCATGGCAAGACTCAACAACAACAACGTAATGTTTGTGCATAAAAAAACAACTGATATGTAGCACACAAAATTGCATAAAGCTCTGCCATTAATATGCTAGTATTCGGAGAAAGGCTACACAAAGAGGTTTGATCGGGGAAAATTAACAAGAGTTTACTTTCTTAACTAAACAAGAGCTAACAAGAGTTAGCTACTTGCATGTCTGCAAGTAGCTAACTTGCAGACATGCACAGAGAGAATACTGTAAATGAAAGGATGAGAAACAGGGTCCACTACCTAAGGAGAGCAAGAATCTCACCAACCTGACAGCTAAAGCATGAGCCAAGAAAGAGAGAGCGCCCAAAACAGAAATTGGATCGAATAATCAATGGTTGGTCTGATTGACCATCCAAGTGGTTGGGCACCATTCCTTTCCCCTGACCCATCCCAAATCCTTATCCTCACCCCCTTCCAAGTGCTATATAGTTGTAATGGCTTGGCACTTTCTCCTGATAATTCCCTTCCCTTCCCTTTTTTGATACTCAAGTCTGGGGAGTCACTGTGAAATCACTCTCAGAAGAGAGCTTTTGATATATCTGGAACCTAAACTAGTTTACTTTATGTGAGGATTTTCCTGGACAATAAGTTTTACATAAATTGAGGATCAACAGTGCAATATTGGAAGATTCAGTTTTAAACCTGTAAAGTCTTACTATCATTCGAATATTTATTAAAATAAAAATGCTGTACTTTAAACAGCATAAGTAATTTACCTGAATGGGACTATTATCTCCCAATGGATGAAGAAGTTCAAGCTTAGTGTTGTCCAGCTTGACGAATACTGTGTATACCCCGTGGTCAGGAAGAGCCTCCACATCGCTTACCTCTGCACCAAACACATCTCTTAAACAACAAAATCTTGTAGCATTAGCTGCCCACTTTATAAAGTTTGGATATTTGAAACATAAAAGCTATATATGCCTTTGCTATGGTCAATACATATCTCAATACAAACAATATTATAAATGACCTTAAAAACAAAAATCCCTACTTTGTACATATACAGTGCCCAATATAAAGACCCTTACTTTTTATGATTTATATATAAAAGTGGCCAGTTACAATTCAGTGGGACTTCCTTTAGCAAATAAAGCTTTGAGTGTAGATTAAATGATCCTGTCTGAGCATGCCACTTGGTTGCTCCCTTGGGCAAAAATCATCACTGAAGTTACTAACCTCATATTTTGCTTACACAACCTTGTGTTGTTTCCGAGGATCAAAGTTGATTCGCTCAGGTCTCTAACCAGGCCACCTGGTTGGTGGTCTAATTAACCATGTTGGTATATGTAGCTGCTCACAGCCTAATGTATGAATCACAGTTATATCTGTGGGTATTTAAAAGGGTATCTTTTTTCTAAGTTGTGAGGACTATCTTCTTTCAATCCTTGATTATGCACTGCCAGGAAGTGAAGCAACTCGGGAGAAGTTATCTTGTTGAGTAGGGAGCCCACAACCCACATAGTAAATGATCTCTGGTGGGGTGTAGGATAAGTTGATTCTATGGAAGGGAATCCTGGCTGTTGTACCTGATGCCTGATGAACTGGGCTATAGCTTGGTGAACCAGAGCTTAGCTCTGAAAGCTGGCATACCAGCTTCCAGAGCTTAGAAAATAATGGAGAAAATAATGGAGAAAATAATGTGTTACGTGAATCCCCTGCATAGCAGTGGAACTGCCTTTTCCCTTCACCTTCAATGCCTCTGCACTGCAAGTATACATCTACACCAGCCCAGATGAGTCATCAGTCCTGCCACCTCTCCATACCCCTCGGGGCCTGGCACGTCCTGGTACGACTTGGAGGCAAGCCGGGTGCCTCTACTAACTGGTAGTTTGCCCCACAAACAAGCAGTTAGCCGCCTTCAACTGGCAGTGGTGCAGCTCAACACAAAGTCACGACCAGCCACAAATGAGCAGTTTGCTAGTTGACCAGATGTCCACCTTGCATTGACACTGGATGAGTCATCACCATGGACTATATAAAGGGCGCCGCCTTCCTGGAGAGCCAGTCTCTCTCTCTTATTGCTCTAGGACCCCCTTCGTGTCTCACCCGTCATCCGCCTTCAGCCAACGTCGTGTGACTGATGCCATGGTGGTATGGTAGCTGTCTTCAGTACACCAGTATATGTATTTATGATTTGTATTCATTGCTTATAGTTTATTTTTGTATTAATGTCATATTAACTTGTTCACCTTTGCATTTACATGATAGCCGAGTATTTTCAGGGGCATTTATGTTCATTAATATTTCAGTAAATTGTTTAATTATTTATTTGATGATTTTCATTTGTTTCCACCTGCGACTTACACACTGCAAGGCCAATAGCAGTATTTTTTTATTTGTGTGAGGGAGAGCCATACCATCTTGGTTCAGTATAGCTGCGATACCACAACCTGTCACAAATGGCATACTTGTATGGTATGGACAAGAGGTAAAGATGCAGGGGAAAGGAGAGAGAGTTGCCATAAACAGGGAAACAGTACAAATAAAAATGACATTGGTGCAGTATCGAGGATTTCAGTTGGGCACATGGAGTTAGAAATGACAGCAGAAATGGAGCATATCAATAAGCTTAAATAACTGAAAATGACACATAGACTATGCAGCTAACAAAACAATAGCTAATTAAATCCTAAAGTATTAAATTTAGCTTACTAAACAGAAACTAATAACTAATGGGCATTAGTTATTAATACCAAAATTAACAATTATAAACAAGATGTTTACCTATAAAGGGCAGTGCTCTTCTCGAGATCTGGAGTTGCAATAGCGACATGATTAAGTCTTCCTAGTTTCCAGAGGGCTGGAGGAACTTTAGCTGGTACCTGGCATGCAGAGGCACTGTGGATTAAGCGATGAAAACCACAACCAATCCTGCTTAAATGAGGCACTAGTTGTGTTAAGGAGTGCATTATTTTCATCACTTAAACCTTGTGTAGAACTGCTTCCCTAGAGAGGAAAATAATTACTTTTATTTTAAACTGATTTTCCTTTTAATTAATCCAAGAAAGACTGACATACAATATACAAGTATCAACTAAAAAACTCCAATGCTTTGCACCAAGATTATCATATAATAATGTTCACACCTTATCACATGTTCCTTATTCATTATGCATTCAAAGTCTTGGCAATATCTGGTACTTCAGTCTCAAAGCTTTTATTTCCTTCCTCTTCAAGTCGTCTTCTTGCTTCTTCCAAACGTTGAGGTTTAACCACTGTGAAGTAGTTATAGGTACGTTCTGCAAGCATTATCGTGCTTAAAACAGTCATACCCACACATGTCAGTACAAAGCTCTTGTGCAAAAAGTCAATCACACGGTTTGCCCTTGGAAACTTCCTCATAATCACAAATCAAGATGGATCTGTCAAAGTGATGGCTAGATTAGGGAAACTACAGGTATTCATGGAGCAATATTCACCAATCATGATGGGCACTGTATCAAAACAAAATTTCAAATATTTAGCAAATATAATTAAAGATTTCTTCAATTGGACAAAGCACCACAGGAACTTGTTAATGTAGCGTTATAAAGAATCTAAACAAATGCAATACTAACTCTCAAGCTAAGATCATATGAAATCAATTGGCAAAAAAAATACATAAATTTATAAACATTGTAAAATATTTTTAATGATGAAGGGACACTGGCAAGCACCAGTACATATTAAATTAAATGCAACATAACTAGCCAAATGTAAATACTGTACTATGCTCAGGAAGTATACAGACATACTCACTGGAAATAAAAAGGTAATAGAATGCAGTTACCCTCATCCCAGGAAATTCTTAATTAAATTTGCTCAGGGGAAAACTAAATGTTTTGGAGTAACTTGTTGGTATTTTAACCTAGACAAGTGCAGTGTGCAAGACCTTACTTGTCTAATACAAATGCTAACTTATACTGTTCAGCTTTTCATGTGAAAGGAGCCACATGCAACAGATGGAATAGAAAACAGGATAACTACCCAGAAACTCCAATTTTTTTTTTTTAAGACCCAATATTAAAAGGGTATTAGACAGAGGCTGATGGGAGGCACTGCACTTTTTGGATTACAAGAGCAAGGCGAGCTGTGACAGTACCACGGGTTTATACGGGATTGTCAACTCCACACAGGATCTCTAAATTATGGCCCTTAAATATCAAGGCAAAATTTTATTTGGCCAACGACTGCATATTTATTTATATATAAGAAGTTACATTGGGTGTTAGCAGAGAACAGAAATTAAGTCGATTTTGCATTCTTGTAAAGCCACTAGCACCCATAGCGTTACGGGCAAGTATTTGCCCGAAGTATTTATTACTTTCTGGGGTACATAGCCTCTATTCAGTGAGGTTAAATGCAACGTGAATGATTGATGGGTCTTCGTACCCAAGATGAAATTGGAATACGTTTTGTCAAAATGCCCGAGTACAACTTAACTGTACCCGGACTAAGTCCAAAAATTTCTTGCCTGAAACATTGTGCGTACTAGTGGCTTTAGGCATAGTATATACAGTACTTGCTTTTTATCTAAAAATCCAACATTGTGCTTGTAACTCATTGTGTATGTATGTATGTACGTTTCCCTAAATAAAATTATTATATCAGAGTGATGATCAAATCATCACACAACACCCCCGGCCTCGGTCACAAACAGAAAAAAATTACGTTCTGTTGCAATTACAAAGCCTGACAAAGATTTACCTGCACTCAATAACCCTCGGGATAAAACGCCTAGAATCTATCGCCTTTTCTATTACAATTATGATAAAATAATGAACTAGAGGATCATGCTTGAAATTAAAATTAAAATTCTACACAGGAGGAAGTTTCATCACCCGTTCACCGAGGCCTCAACACTCGTGGACAAAGCCTCTATAACGGTCTCTTCCTCGTAACACAACTTACCAAAAATATCTATTACAACCAGGTAAAATTTTAATATCTTTTAGCTGTGTGACCAAGACCATTAACACCGTGTAGCCTCATACACCTCTAGCACGCTGGCTCCACCAATCACAGACGAGCTTACACGTCAGCCAATCTCAGCACACGTTACTGAA